TTAAAAAAAATGGTTATTATAAAATGATTTTTGAAGGGATGAAAGGAAAGAGAAGCATCTGATGGAAAGCTTTATATTGTACCTGCCAGTCCCCATGTTTCAACAGAAGAGGCTCCATTTTTACAAGTATTGAGATTGCACTGCGGACACCCTGCTCATGTCATCCTGCCCCAGACCCAGAGCAACAGGGATTGTGAAGAGTCAGGGAAACCTGACATGACCAAAGGAACACAATGAACTTCCAGTAATTGACTCCAAATAAATGGAGATACATGAAATCCCTGAAAAAGATTTAGAAGTAATCATTTTAAAGATACTTGGAGAGTTATAAGAGAACACAGATAAACATTTTTACAAAAATTAGGAAAACAATACAAGAACAAAATGAGAAGTTCAACAAAGAGATACAAAACATTGTAAAGAACCAAACAAATTTTGGAGCTAAAGAATATAATAAATGCACTAAATAATTCTTTTTTTAAGATTTTTATTGGGGAATTGAGGAATGGGAACAGTGCTGGGGAATTGGGGGAAGGGGAACAGACAAGTTGCTGTCCTTTTGTTCTTCAGTCTAGTTGTGGAGGACGTTGCTTCACTGGCCCAAGTTGGCACCATCATTGCACTCTTCCCAGGTGAGGCATGTCAGTCACCAGCTTCTGGACAGCCACTCACGGTGACTGCTAGCTACACACGGTAGCCCATGGCAACCCATTGCCACGGGGGCTGCAGCCTAAGCCGTCGCCGGCGCCTCATGGCAGCCCAGCTCCAGGTTGAGCTGTTGTTCAGCATCTTAGCTGTAGAGGGCAGTGTCACTGGCCCTCATATGTGAGATCCGAACTGGGGTCCTCTGGCGTCCCAAGCCAGCTCTTAACCAACGTGCCACTCGGCCGGCTCTAAATAATTCTTTATATAGCTCAACATCAGATTGAACCAAACAGAAGCAAGAATCAGTGATCTCAATGACAAATCATTTGAAATTATCCAGTCAGATGATCAAAAGGAAATTGAATCAGTAATTAAAAGCCTTTCAACAAAGAAAAGCCTGATCCCAGATAGTTTCACTGGTGAATTCCTCCAAAAATTTCAGGAAGAATTAACACCAATCCTTCTCAAACGTTTCCAAAAAAATGAAGAAGAGGTAATACTCCCAACTCAATTTATGTAGCCAGCATTACCCTGATACCAAAGCCAGATAAGGCTACTACAAGAAAAGAAAACTATAGGCCAATATCCCTGACGAACATAGATGCAAAATACTAACAAATCAATTTCAGCAGTACATTAAAAGGATTATACACAATGATCAAGTGGTATGCAAGGATGGCTCAAATATGCAAATCAATCAATTGATACACCACATTGATAAAATGAAAGATAAAAATCATATGATCCTCTCAGTAAGTACAGAAAAAGCGATTAACAAAATTCAGTATCTTTGATAATAAAAACCCTCAGTAAATTAGATGTAGAGGGAATGTCCCTCAACATAATAAAGGCCATATATGACAGACCCACAGCTGACATCATACCCAACAGTAAGAGGTTGAAAACTTTTCCTTCAAGATCAGAAATAAGACAAGAGTGTCTCTTTGTTGATGACATGATCTTAGATATAAAAAATGCTAAAGGCTCTACCAAAATAAACAAATTCAGTAAAGTTTCAGGAGGCAAAATAAGATCTATACACCAAAAACAATAAAGACTCTGATGAAATAAATTGAAGATACAAATAAGTGGAAAGATATTCCATGTTCATGGATTTGAAGACTTAATATTATTAAAACCCCCATATTACCCAAAGTCATCTATAGATTCAGTGCAATCCTTTTTCAAAATCCCAGTGGCATTTTTCATAGAAATAGAAAAAAACCTAAAATTCGTATTAACTACAGAAGACTCTGAATAGCCAAAGCAATCTTGATAAAGAATATAGCTAGAGGCATCACACATCCTGAGTTCAAACTATATTACAAAGCTAAAGTAATCAAAACAATATGGTTCTGGCATAAAAGTAGACATGTATACCAATGGGACGGAATTAAGAGCCCAGCAATAAACTCTCACATATGTGGTGAACTTCTATTTAACAAGTGATCCAAGAATACTGAACCGTGAAACAGTAACCCCTTCAATAAATGGTTTTGGAAAAACTGTATATTCACATGTAGAAGAATGAAATTGGATGCCTATCTTACACCAGTCACAAAAAAATTAACTCAAAATGGATTATGGACTTAAATGTAAGATCTGAAGCTGTGAAATTCTTTGAAGAAAACAGGAAAAAAGCTCATTGACTTTGGTCTTTGCAATTATTTTTCGATATGACAACAACAAAAAAGCAATAAAAATATACAAACGCAACTACATCAAACAAAATCTTCTGCGCAGCAAAAGACACAATCAACAAAATGAAAAGGCACCCTATGAAATAGAAAATATTTGCAAACCATATATCTGATAAGGGGTTAATATCCATAATATATATGGAACTCACACAATTTAATAACAAATAATAATATAATAATAATAATCCAATTTAAAAATGGGCAAAGGACTAGAATATTTTTCTATAGAAGACATACAAATAGCCAACATCTACATAAAAAGGTGTTCAATATAATTAATCATCAAGGAAATGCAAATCAAAACTACAATGAGATCTCTCTTTACATCAGTTAAAATGGCTATCATAAAAAAAGATAACAAATATTAATGAAGATATGGAGAAAAGGGCACTCTTGTGCACTGTAGATGGGAACATAAATTGGTACAGCCACTATGGAGAGTGGTCAAGAAATTAAACGTAGAACTACCATGTGATCCAGTCATCCCACTTCTGGGTATTGCTTCAAAGGAAACAAAATCACTATCTTGAAGAGATATCTGCACCCTCATGTTCATTCACAATAGCCAAGACACAGGGAAACAGCACTAAGTGTCCAATGTCAGATGAATGAATAGAGAAAATGCAGGATATATGTGCAATGGGCTATTATACAGCCATAAAAAAGTTTCAGCATGGTTCTCGTCATAACAACAACAAAATAATGGTAATTACGTGAGGTGAAGGATGTGTTATTGGGGTAAACACTTTGCAGTATATATCTGTATCAATTTATCACATTGTACAGCTTAAACTTCCACATTGTTATATTGTCAATTAGATCTTAATAAAGTTGGGTGGGGCGGGGAGACGAAATAGAAAAATTCAGTCTCCATGAGAGTCCTTCGATTGAGAATTCTATACGTTATAATCTCAGATTTAAATTAATTTGTATATTTATATATAAATTACTTTAGTTACTTAAATGTTTTTCTTAGTTTAAAATTTCTCTTTTCAGAATGCTGATAATTTTAGTTGGAAGGGTTTTAATAGAGTGTTAATCATTTAAATAGCTTTTATCTTATAAGGCAACTCTAAGCACTTCCTCACAACCTCCTTATGCAGTATAGTCTTGGACAGAACGTAACTTCCAAAGAAATGATTTTGTTTTAGTGTTTCACATGGACTCATTTGGAACTCTCTTTTTGGTACTGTTGAATAATAATATCTTTCCTTCCTTAGAGGATGCATTAAAATCTCTTTTATTACTATTCCAATGATAAAAATCTTGATTTCAATATTTTAAATTTATTTTTTAAGTGCTAAGTTAAAATGGCAACTACTTTATAAATGCATACAAATCTTGGCTTCTTTCCTTATAAATCTATAAAATAATATGGAAAAATAGTTCACTTGTCTTCATAAACAGCTGTTTTCAAAACATAGCATTTTTTAAATATGAAATTAATTCATTATAGAATACTGGCAAGTATAAAAACAATATAAAAAAGAAAATGAAAACCACCTACCTATTATTCCACCACCTAGGGAAAACTACTACCCATATATGTATGGTGTTTCTTTATGGTAGCATAGTCATAACTCTGTATCTGTATGCTATTTAACACAATTTTTTTGCCTATGTTCGATGACGAAGGCACAGACCCAAAGTATTAAATAACTAATGTCTCATAGTGTTTGTTGTTTATAAGTCAGTTTTACTTCCTTTTTTTTTTTACCTCCTTTATTATTTTTAACCTGTACTAGTTCTTTAAGGAACACCTTTTTTCTCATGGTCTTAAACCTGAAACCACATCTTCATAGAAGTGTAGTTACGACATTAACACTTCCAACATTAGCAAATCAGAGAGCTCAGACTCAAAAGCAATTCTCCAGGCATCTAAAATTACAGTGCTGTTCCCTTGACGATCCAGCTACCTCGTGTATGTGGATTCCTGCTACAATTTGTCCTTTTGGCTAAATTAAAAAATCATTCTAAAAGTTTGCCTTAAAACACCCTCAGAGTGTTACTAAATTAAGGTTAAATCACAAGTATAAATTTTCAAGCAATTAGTTTTGGGTTTGCCCGAGCAGAACACCCCACAGATGATGCCGAATAAAAACTATTTACACACTACCATAGTGCATTTCTTGTAAAAATGTTGGGTCTCTAGCAGCGATTTGCTAATCAAATTCAGAATTTGATTTGAAATGCCTCCGGCAGGCAGCCAATCCAGTTATGAAAGAACAGAAGCAAAAACCAGAGCCCTGGTGAGTTTCCTCCAGAAGCAAGCTGGGTCCTTTGCTCTAGTTAGCAAACTGATTCCATAGGAAATCACTGCAATTGCTCCTAAAATAAAATATCGTAGTTAATTTTTGCAATAAATTATTGGACTGTGCTAGACACAAAACATGTACATTTTAGAATCTAGAGTTATAAAAATTCTGACATGTTTTAATATAAACAGGAACATTTCCAATGATTGCTTGGATCTAAAATGTTTTTCCACTTGACATTTGTTTATACTTCCTAGGAAAGAAACTCTATTTATGGATAACTGAATAACACAAATAAACATCAGAGAGAGCTGAAAAATCAGCTTTGATTATGCATGAAAATCTACAATGTCATTGTGTACTCTTATTCCGTATTCTGATTGCCTGTTTATTTTTACAGAACTGCTGGTGAGCCTATGGAAGAGGAGCCAGCCTTGTGAAGTGCCAAGTCCCCCTCCCCCCATATTTCCTGTGTGTGACATCATTGTGTATCCCCCCGCACCCCAGCACCCTCAGACATGTCTTGTCTGCTGCCTGGGTGGCACAGATTCGGTGGAATATAAACACTGGGCACAAAATTCTGAACAGCAGCTTCACTTGTTCTTTGGATGGACTTGAAAGGGCATTAAAGATTCCTTAAACCTAACCGCTGTGATTCTAAAGTTACAGTAAACCACGATTGGAAGAAACTGCTTCCAGCGTACTTTTAATATACTTGGTGATCCACTCCCAGGCCCAAAGTATGAGCTAGAAACATCCAATACGGCATTAGATACTGTTAATTACAAATGCTCTGACAGCCAGCGAAATTTTGGGCAAAACCTAAGAAAGACTCATTCCTGACATTCTGATCAGTTTTTTATTGGGTAATTTTTTGTCAAACAGTCTTAAATTGTTTACAGAATTTGCTTTCAGCTATGAACGGATAGCAATTCCCGACAGCTCACAGGGATTTGTTTTGTTCTGTTTTGTTTGTTTTTTTGGCCTTTGTTTTAACACATGGTTCAACTCTTGCTAGTTAAGAGTTCAAGATGGAGGAACTGGACTGAGGGTTTTTCTGTGGAATAAACCGCACTGTATCTCAAAGTCCAAATGCCAAAGGAACCTCAAACACTGTATATAATGGTGCAATATTTTATGTCACTTTTTTTTTTTTTTTGAGAAAAATGACCCTATTTGCCTAGCATCCCTCTGTGTTCTCACACACTGGAGACTTGCAATTGTATTTGAAGATGAGGTTCCCCTCCTCCCGCACACATCCCTTGTTCTGATGACAGTAGCTCTGAGCATATGTTCCATGGAGGATTTCCAGTGTCTTTGAAAGCTTTTCAAAGATGGTCTTAATTTGCTCCAAATCTATCAAGAACTTACTCTCTCACTTTTCTTTTTTTGCCCTCCATCATTTCCTTTTTTCTTACCTTTCATCCTACCTTCCTATAGAAAAGCTAAAGATTACCCATAATCTCCCCAATTACTCAGGACCTTTGAGGATTTATTTTTTTACTTCCCAGGTTAACACAGTTGCTTGGTCTAATGTGTCCTTTTAGCTGTGAAACCACTGAGGTGAATGTGGCTTAAGCAATGTTACTGAATTTTCTAGATCTTTGAAATGTGCTAATGAAGGCATTGTGTATTTGATGTCACCTTGAGTTGAGTTAACCTTGAAAAGTTGTGCCTTCATGTAAAAAAAACAAAACAAAACAAAAAACCCAAATTTAACCCTTACCCATGTTGCCTTGGTGTCAAAGGCTAAAAGTAACAGACATTTATTTATTTCTGAGATTAAAAGCAACTTAGTAAATATAAGTAGGTTATCCCCCTACCTTCCAAAATTCTATTTCAATGTACAACTCAAACACATAAAGACATTGATGTAGAATACCTCACAGTATTTAATATCTGACAATGCTTTCAAAAGAGTTGATGTTTCTTTTTATATATTTTCCTAACTCAAAGGATATATTAAAGCCATAAGTGAAGATTGTCATGCTTTTATTCAGAAATCTGAAAGAAACCTTAATTAAAACAAGGTTTTAGGGAAGGCCATGATATGAAAGATATGGAACAATGTGGTTTTAGTTAAAGAGGACTCTAACCTGTAAATCAAAGATGAAAGATTTCACTCAAGTAGAATTATATAACTCTCTTTTGTTATACAGTCAGACCATATTTTTCATGCATTTGGTTTTTTCAGGATTACCATTTTAATTTTAAAGACTTTTATTACATATACAAAAATGGCTCGATACTTGGTTTAACATCTTAGAAATTTGAGATGCCCTTTGAAATAGGAAATCTGAAATGGAATGTAACTCAGTATTAGGTAAAAAATTACTTTCATTGCATAAGGGTAAGGTCAATCTCAATTCACAATAGTAATGAATTTTTTTGTAAAAAAAAATCATGATATTTTCAGAGAATTTCATGCCAATTATATTTGCTAGCTTTTGCTATTTTACTGTAATTCCTGAGATTTATTTAGAGAAAACCAAATAATGGAGCCAAAGGCTTAAAAACAAAAAAAAAACTCCCCTTTTTAAAAAGGAAAGTTATATCATTTTGTTTGGAAACATAATTGTGACTATTTAAAAGCAACTTGATAATTACAAATCCCTATTATTACTCTCAATCCTCCCAGGTATTTTTAGATGTTTAATAAGCAAATGAAACAGTATAGTACAAACATACTAATTTACTGATGTTTCCTACAATAATTTTTACACATACTTATGCCGAGGCATCAATCCGATAAAGCCAAGTCACTAGGATACCTCCATGGTATTCCGATTTAAAACATGACACATGAATGAGTTAATCACACATCCTTCCATGGGATACTGTCCCCAATTGGTTTCAGTTATAGTCCGTAGGATACATGGAGAGGCAGATAAACTATGGGGAGGATTAATCACAGCTGAATGTATTTGTAAGAACAGAATACCAGTGCTTTCTGATTATATCCTTACAAGCTATCATATAGCCCTCAGGGACAGAATGGAGGCTTTTGGAGAATATCAACACTTCTTTTCAAATAGCCAGCACTTTTTGAAAGGGTAGTTCTACTTGGTATAATTTTCTTGACTTACACATTTAATTTTTAGTGCTCACAGCAGTTCCCAGTAAGAGGCTATTAGAAGAATTTGTTCCTAAGCTTTTTCAATAATATATCTTTCTGATCCATATGTTGAAGGATAATCACACAGGCTTTCTCACAATCTCATAATAACTCAGGCATGATGAATAAAAATAATGTTTTTGAGAAATCTAGTAAACAGTGTTGGGAGTTCAATTTAATAAGATTTGATAATAGGTACACAAAAAAATGTAAGAAAATTGATTTTCTCAATCATGTAGTACAATCTGGGGTTGTATATTAAATCAAAACAATTTTATTAGATAATAAGTAAAAGTGACCTCAAATGGTAATAGAGGCTATTTAATCATTGCTTAGTAAATGCAAAGAACATTATAAGATAAAATATTTTTAAATATTTTAACAAACTTACAACATCAATAGTGGAGATAGAAGTCAGCTTTTGGAGAAAAAAAGAGATACAAAAAACTGCTCATAATCACATTTTCATTACCAGTGCTAGGAACTGAAATCTTACCTTCAGTTTTGAGCACAACCCTTTGCAAAACCCACACACCTCTTTCTGACAACATGGTGGATTTGGAAGCAGGACATCTCACACAAAGATTTCAGAAACTATGAGGCTGGTCTGTCCTAACAATTCAGCACTGTTCTATTTCTGAAGGTCATTCATAAAGCTTTGTAGATTTACTGGGTTTCTTTACAGACTCCATATGGAAGTAAAATAGAATGACCATGTGGAAAGTCTCCTGGGAGATAATTTCTCTTCAATCAGCACTTTTCTACTTATTTTCTATCCCAGCATTTATATTTAGGACAATTTATTTAAATATTTCTTACTATTTATCTTTTGAAACTTTACTCTCAATTTGTCTCAATGAAACTATTAAATGTCTAATGGCCACGAAGCAAACAAGCCAAAGATTTCTGTCTTAAAAATGATTCATTCTGAGCTTGAAATAATCGCTCTGTCAGAGTTTGACGTTGTCATTGCTACAGCATCTATCTTAACATTCTTTTCCTGCTTCAGATATGAAATCACTTGACTTGCTGAGAAAATAAGAAAAAAAAAGTAGGAAAAAACATACCTGTTGAACTATTCCATAAAGAGCGCATTTTCACCTCCAAAAGAAATGAAAACCAGATGATCTGTGCTAAGAAATGAAGGCATTTTGTTGTTGTCTTCAGAACTGACCATGGAAATGTTCATGTTCATCATCAAATATATCTTATGTTCCCAAAGGACACAATTCTATTTGGGGCTCCAGCAGTATTTTGTACTATTAACTGCCTTTTGAATGAGGTATTATGGGTCACTTTCATCAACACCATCACTAAACTACGGAAGTGCCTTTGTGTGACTTCTTTTCCTGGTCATACTTATATTGAAAATGTACCCTCCTTGCTTACTAACAGCTTTCTTCTACTCCATCAAATGTTTCATGAAGCATATCATGATTGTCAAGGGGCCAGAATATCATTTTTGTAGATGAACATGGTATATTCACACAGGACTCTAGAGCTTGGTTTCTCCAAATCAACTGTGGTCTATTTTTTTCTAGGATATACCTGGCTAGTTTTATATTACAGTTTATGCAACAACTGAGTCAGTTATTAATATGCTGGGAATGGCTGGGTCAGACAATTGAACCTTAGACTGTTGATCTGGTGCTGTTTGGACTTGATCTCAATGATAGAGAAACAGGGTTGTAACAATTTCTCAAACCATCTTAATTCTCAACCTGAAACATTTAGCAAATATATGGTGAATTGACCTTACCGTGCCAATCATTCTAACCAGTAATCTCCTTTCCACCCTTCTCTCCTTCCCCAGTCCAACTGCCAATACCAAACTGCCAATACCAAATATCTAATCTATCAGAATAATTTCATAAGTCTCTATATTTCCTAAGGGGAAACAACCTTGGCAACTTATTTTCTGAGACCCTACTAGGTATACTTCCTTTCATGCCATTTTATATAAACACTTTAGTAGGTACTTTTTAATCTTCCTTTTTATCTCTTATTTTTTAAGAAAATCTTGACTTTTTTACTATTCTTATCTTAAAAGATAGATCAAGTTCTTGTGTTCTGGTTTACAATTTTGGACCTGGAACTTCGTTTTATTAACACAGAATTTTCCTTTTTGTCTCAAACATACTTTTCCACCATTCTTGCTACTACCTAATTGTGTTGTGCTAGTTATCACATAAAGTTTGTACACGTACTTTTCTAGCCCTTTGGATGATGTCTTGAAGAGTCAAACCCACATGCATAAACTCCAAACTGAAAAAAAAAATGGCCACAAGAGAAATTTCAAATAAATATCATTTGGAAGTATGATATTTCCAGACTATTCAAAGAAAATTGCAGTCCTTTTATTTTTCTGTTTGGGCCTTAGGCACATTAGAGGCCGATGTTGCAACATCAAATAAAATAAGGAGGGTGAAATGTTTTGTGGGCCATTGTGGTCATGTCCTTCAGGCTTCATTGTGGTGCCTTTTCTTGAGGTTGGCATTTTATGATAATTGATAGAGATCTTGCAGCAATTTCTAGCTATTGCTTTCATTAACTTAAAATTGAGTAGAAATGGAGTAATAAAAAAATTAGGAAGTAAGAATTCTAAAATCTGAGGAGGAATGGCAATTCCTTGGGTATGCAAACATTGTTTTTAGATAAAAATATCCATATGCTCTTTGTAAATTGTAAGATTCTCAAACGCTGTCTGGATAAGCTATGTCAGTGTCTATCTCCACAGCAGCTGGGTTATATGAAATTGCTCTTTCAGTGGTTACAAGGGCATAACAACTGTGCTGGTAAAAATGAGTGACCATTTAGTAGATCGTAGCCTATGCAGTCGGTGTCACTTAAAAGCAATATCCTGAGATTTTTAAATAAGGTGGGCAGGACAGGCACGAGTCCAATATTTATTACTCTTGTGATTAAACACTCTAGACCAGGCTTGTTGATGTGTATGCCAATAATCTGGAGTTTCTGGCTTAGTGTAAAATTTAAATATCTTTCCTATCGTGGTCTCATATCTGTTTCTGTAATAAGATCAGTTTGTTGCCCTCTGTGCACCAGTGGTTTTGCCCTTAATTTTTTGGCTAGCATTCACCAAAATCTGTCATCCAGTGCTGCTGAGAAAAATACATGTTGCCAAACTTCTTTTCTTAAAATTGTGCTGCCAGTGATGTTTTCCCAGATGTGAAAAATAATTACCTAATAAAGGATTAATACCCAATAACAATACCATTGTTGAACATACTCATGCAGTGTTCACCTTCTTTCTGATTCCTTTTTTTGTATTTGAAAATATCGAATGGAAAATTTAATGGTGTGTTCCATTGTTGATGTTGTTAATATCATGACTTTCCTTCAAAGTGGATGTCTTATGTTTTGTCTTGTGTTTTCTACTGAATTAGATTTTCCTCTAGGCCTAGTGTGAATAAAAGCTATTTGAAATAAAAGTGTTCTGATTTTTCTACTTCCTTGGCGCCTCCCATTAGACTCTGAATAGTAGATATTTGACAAATACTTGTTGGATCAATAAAATATTACTACTAATAAATTACTGTGATATATACCATTCCACTTTCAAAATATTAAAGGGTTACTTGCAGGCAAATCCCCTTTATAATGATGAGATAATTCACAGGAGCAGAAAAAATAAATTAAAACGAAGTCACTGTTTGAATGTAATTTGCTGGTCAGGATAAAGAATGATGACAGCTAACACTGATTAAACACCAACCATGTACCCGTTACAATCCTGAACACTGTCCCAGAATTGGGAATTGGGTTATTCATCACATGAACCTACATCATGTATCCTTACTCCCATTTACAGATGAGAGCATGGAGCATGAAAAAGGAACTCATTTACTTTCCCATTGTTACAGGTAATAAGAGATAGAATTAAATCCTTATCTATGTCTATGTAGCTCTTAAGTCTGTCCTCTCTCCAAATGGCATACATGATTTGTCAAAGATGGTATACTCAAGGCACTAAATTATAAAACTGACTAACCTTCAATATAGACTATATGCTCAGTCTCTGCTAATCTTATGATTTTATTAAATTATCATTTTAAATGAATCTGGTAATTGTGGCTAGATTTGTACAGTAAGTACAAGTTACAAAACTTATTTTTTTTCCTTGTTTCAACATGTTTCTTTAATGTAGCCAAGAACACTAAGATGTCTTTGGAATACATATTCCAAAAACTCTTGAAACCCATTCCAAGACCAATACTTATTTTTGTATTTTATAACCCCCTGCAATGTTTAAAATTCTGAAACATAACTGTTACCAATGGACAATGGTTTGCATTCCTTCTGGGAAAAGATAGTAATATTTTGTCTAACAGAAAGTAAACTTGAGATGGAATGGGTGGGTGGAGTCAGTTTCAATAGTAAACACCCTTGGTTTAATCAGATTTGTCAAATGGCAAATGTTACTTCATGGTTCTTTGTTTCTTTTAAGTTTCCGTGGTGAAAAGAGAGCAATTGAAAGAGTGGAGTGTAAGTAAAAACTGAGAATGGGTGTGTTACTCTTATTTTTAAAAAGTAGTTTGCAATTAAAAAAAGAAGTCTAAGAAATTTTTTTTCACTACTTAACACTTGGGGAGTTATTTAACTCAAAGTGCTTCTAAATATTGTAGTTACTCCTTAATTTTTAATATCAATATCAATTCTTATGTTCTTCCCAGTTTACCATAAATGGACCATCCCCCACATATCCTAATAAGTACTTCAGAAAACTGATAGCTGGTCTTTCAAATGTCTTAAGAATAGAGAAACAAGATTCAAGCAAAGGGGTGAATAGATTCCTTTTTAAATCTATAAAAGACTCGAGGTATAATAAATAAAATAAAAGAAAGATTGAATTTACCTTAGATCAAGTCAACTATAAAGTTCTTAGTGTATCTACAAAAGCCGTGATTAAGTTTTATTGAAAGCTTATACAGTACCTTTAAAAATCTTATGTAGTCACACATATATATTTTGTTTTTTCATCCAAACTATTTTTTCCAAAAGAATAAGATTTAAAAACTTAAGATATGATAAAGTAAATGGATGTAATAAAAGTTTTTTCATAACAAGTTATATATTTATGAAGATTTATTCTTAATTGGATGTGAAGGCTTTGTGTTAAATGAGGTTGTTTCTTTTAAAAATGTATATTTATAGTGCACTATTTTTTTCCTTTGCCAAATGTTTGTTTTATTTTATTCTAAAAATAAAAATATTAATAGTTATTAAACACTTACCCTGTGCTCACATTTAAATATCAAAACACCCCTGTGAGGGGAGTGATTTAATAGGAAAGGAAATTGGGACTTAAATGCCAGGGGAAAAAAAAATCTTCTTTACTGCTATCCAAACTGTTTTATTCAACATAATCAACACTCACTGAATGCCTACTATATGCACATGTATTCAGTATTGTTCTCATAATAGCATGGAGCCTAGCAAGAAATTTGGCAATATAACTATATACGAGAAATAAAAATCTTATTAAATCTCCTTCTCCTATAGCTGCAAAAGAAATACTACCACAGAATAGATTTAGGTTTAAAAAAGTGTGTTTTCTTTCTACATAGAATTATAACATAGAGACAGACATAGAATACATTCAAGAAATATTTGTTATCTAAGGTACATATATTCACAGGGAGATTTGTGCAAAGACCTATCAAGAGAGTAGATATGAGTTAGGGTGTTTGTTAATGTCCCTTTCATCCCTAATATCTACCCTCCTTAATGTCAACATTCAATTAAAAGTATATAATGTTGAGAATTACAAAGATAGGAGATAAAATTTCTAAAGATCCTAAAAACCCCCTTAGAAATTGCTTTCTAAATTGCTGTCATTTGCATTTCTCTCATTTTTAAAAAAAAAAAGTTCATTATAATTTCCTGTACATCAAGTCCCAGATAATCAAGTTCTTCAACAACCACTTCTGCTTTATTTCATTTTTCCTTGAATGAAACATAATTTCCAACCTTTTTTTTACTTTCAAAGCACTAATCTTGATAAACAGTATGTTCAGTTCTTTCATCAGACTCCCAACCCTGATAGACCATAACATCCTCATCAGATAGAATGAATTGATAGGGGGTCTCTGTGCCATTAAAACTATGCTGCCATTTTCAAGTTTTAATTTCCCAAGTTTAAAATTCAGGCCATATTTAATGAAATGTGTTCCAAAATTTTTTGTGGTTACAAATATGTCCATCTTTCCCACGAGACTATTAGATTCAACCTAGCAATCCCACACAGTCAAAAACACTTTGCAATTAGTGAATACAAAAGGATTGGTAGATGCTATGAAATAGTCCATTCTTGTCATTACTCCTTTTAAGCTCAATAGAAAGTGCATGGAGAAGGATACAGAGCCCCATTCTATAATCTGTTATAAAATCATTGTCTTTTCTGTTGAGGTCGAGCCAAGTGAGGTGTTCAGAGCTTTAAGAAACATTTTAAAAGCAGCCAAGTATATAAATTGTGTTTAAGAAGATTCAAGTTTGGTTAATGTATCCCCAAAGTATTCCCAGAGAAGATAACATAGAACTGGGAATCCAGACTTTTTTGGTTTCCAGCCTCATTTCTACAACGAATTAGCTTGTGACATTGGGTAAAATCATTATCTTCTCATGGCCTTCATTTCTTTATTTCTTTTTAATGCTTTGGAAGTTAAAGCATTCTATTTTAGGAAAATAAAATCTGTTATTTTGGGGAAATTATACATTATATTTCTATTATTTTTGTAGTTACTCAGTATATTAGTAAAATGCCCACTTAAGGTCAATTATCTTAATCACACATCTCTATTTGCCCCTTGCAGAATATAAGAGCCTTAAATTGCATTGATTCCTATGTACCCTATTTAATCTTTTAACTCATAATTGTATTTAGTCTAGTATTTAGTTTCACTATGTTTTTTAAACCTTGATTTTATTTATAACATTTATTGCTATATATCGGTGATTATTGTTTTTCCATTTGTAACAACAACAACAATAATAGTCAATAATTATTGTTTCATCATGCTTGCCAGTTTCTTTGCTCAATAATTATGCATGTACCACATTTCTTTCTTCTTTTGGGCTTGGAGTGATTAACTTTCTCCCACTTTCCCTGTCTGAAATGTATTTATATTTTTTGGCTTCACCCTTAAATGATATGTTGGCTGGGTATTGAACTCTAGGTTGTCAGTTATTCTTTCTCAGCGCTGTGACATCATTTTATTTAATCTTACCGCTACTTTCACTACCAAACATCTGTAATTGCCTAATTATTGTTCCTTTGAAAGTAATTTTCTCTTTAGATATTTGAGATCTTTGTGAGCAGGTGTGATCTTTATGTTTCTCCTGCAAGGCACTTGATGTGTTTCCTAAGTCTGAAAATTAAATTGCTTCTTCTATTTTAAATTATTTATGGTTGATAATAGCTCCACCAATCTTCTACACTCTCCTTTTGTAGTAAGATACAACTCTTACTAGACATATATTGATAGGCCTTGTTCTGTTCTTTTGTATGTAAACTTGCCTTTTACATTTTCCATCACACTGCTTCTTCATGCTGCCCTCTGCATAATTTCTTCTAATCTTTTAGGTCTGATTTTATGCATTTCTAGCCTACAAATTTTAACTTTCAAAGACCATATTCATTTTTAGAAGATGTACTCACTTCTTTTTCAATATTCCATTATTCTGGTGTCTTATTTTCTTATTGCTTAAACTTCTTGTTTTACATTTTAATCCTTTTCTATACATTTAATTTATTGTGTCTATCAGCATTCTCTATGATCTTAAGTAGTCAAGCATTACTTATATGAATTTACTTTTCTGAAATTTTTTTATTGTGAATTTACTTTCAGTAGGCTTTTCGCTGTGCAGATTCCATGTTGTCTGGATTGAGGACATACCCCTCTTGAGCATTTTGTGTTTTCTTCTGGCAGGAATTCCAGGTGTTTTACCACATAAGACCATTTTTATGCTCATATGCTGCTAATGGGTTCTTTTATCATATATCTAATATGAATTCAAATCACAAATCTATGTGCAACCTTACCAGTTCTTAGGAGAAACTTTTTCCTACCCAGTGTCTACAAAGAAACTACCAGATTCCTTCTTGTCATTCTCTTGGCAGTGGGCAGATGTATTTTTTTTTTTTAGCTGAGCCATCCTGCCACCTGTTGGCAGCTTAGTGGCAGCTCAGCTCGGACCAGGAATCGAACCGCTGTTGCTCAGAGCTCAAACTCTTGAGCGAGCTCTTAACCAACTGAGCCACTTGTCTGGCCTATGGCAGATATATTTTTTAAGTCTACCCTACCACTTAGGGGGAAGCCTTTCAAGGGTCCTAGATTAATTGTGAACATGTGTGCACAAGACTGGTTTCTCAGTTCCGATTCTCTACCTCAGGAAGCCCCAAGTGTTCATC